AGTCAGTGGCGCGGCCCTAAGATCTTCAGGACCGATGATCTTGTAAGAGCCGGTCTGGTTGGCTGGGTTCCAGGATCCGTGCTTGACCAGGGCCAGAGCAGATAGCCTCCCCTAGCACTCTTAGCAGAGGACTGGGAATAGGACAGTCAGGGGATAGTGCTAGGGGTGTTTCCCGTTGAGTACGGGTGAAGGGGCCGTTACCTCTTCAAGTATTGTTATCGTCTTTGGTTAAATAAAAGAGTGTGTCTCAACTACGTCGTCTGACTCACTGAGAACTCACTACACACGTGCCAGCATTATTTCGTGCGGTTGCCATTCACGACTTTATTGTAGCGCAGGGCAAGCAGGAAGGTTGGCGCTGCTATGTGCCACGTGGTCTGTAGCAGCCTCGCAGTAGGGGGAGAGGATCGACGTTCCGTGTGTGATCCCAATTGAGTAGCTTGCGGTGTGATCTCGATTGGAAGAGTTCGTGACCGCAGGAATCCATACTCTTTGGTTCTTTCGGTAAAGTCACGTCGGTAGGAATAAAATCAAATAAAACAAATCACGACGTTTCGATCGCAACACAAGAAATCCTCATCAGGTGTGTTGCGATCGAAACGTCGTGATTTGTTTTATTTTATTTTATTTCTACCGACGTGACTTTACCGAAAGAACCAACGAATTGCGGTGTGATGTTTTACATTTTCCAAAACGTGGCCCGCGATCTTTGGGCATCCACTGCAAAGCAGAAGCCGCATGGCAGTATTGTAGTCGCTACCAGTAGGACTAGTCGCATTTATTCAAGGTTAATGCCACGCACACCGAAGTGTTAACCAGGCCGGCCTGCCGGATTCGAACCGCGAACCTCTGCAACAACACGCCGTTATTAATCACGGAACGACGTGAGTCTCCTCGGTGACTTCCACACCCAGTGTGAAGGTTTTTTTTTTCTTTTTCGCCAAGGGCACACACTCGCCTCCCACTAGCGGCCTTTAATCAATTATTTCGGAACTTAATTTGGAGGGCCAGTGTATTCACGACAGCATCCATTACGAGCAGAAGCCGTAATTAAGTTCGTGCCATTATTATGTTTTTGCGCAGGGGCTCGCGTCAAATTGCTATCGGCGTCGGAGCGTCATTGCACCGCTTGGAGGTTGAGACTCGTTAGTGGGAGCGGCGAGGTATCGGGTGAATCTTAATCGTGTTCACCGTCATCCTCGCACCGACGCCAATTCACCCGTACCACTACAGCTGCAAGCATCGTCGTCGTCGTCGTTGTCGCAGTGGTGAGGCTAGTGGCTCGCAGCAAGAAGGGCCTGAGTTCGATTACGGAACTCGGGTTCCCGTCCGTGTGGCGTTCGTGCGCTCGCTCTATCCCTGCTCCACGTGGCTTTCCTCTGGGTTCTCCTCTTTCCTCCCAAAGCTAAAATAAAAACAACAAACGATACAATTACTCTTTGGTTCTTTCGGGAAAGTCACGTATAAAGAGAAAATAATAAATTAAATACTAGCATGCTAGTATGCTAGTATTTCATTTATTATTTTCTCTTATTTTATCTTTATACGTGACTTTCCCGAAAGAACCAAAGAGTAATTCCTGCAGTCACAAAAGCTCCAAATTAAGTACAAACGATACAATGTAACCGATATTGGCAAATACATTCCAATGCTGCCACAAAAATTGTAATCCCTGAAAATTACTCAGTTGGGATCACACATCAGTAGCAGCAGCAGCAGCAGCAACATCGCCACACTGCAAAGACAACGTGGCATTACCCTCCTGAAACCTTTGAGGCTCGGTGAGGCCTTTCTGGGTAAACGTAATAAATTATAATGATAGTAACATCATTCCTTAGATATCCAAAGATCCATCGATTCACGCATTAAAATCGATCGCTATTCACACGCTAGGTGCATCCAAATGTCCGCGTAAGAATGTCTCGTCTATGATTCGGTAAAGTCACGTAGATGGTTCAAAGAAAATATTTTCTTTGAAAATATATGAACTCTTGCAGTCACGAAAGCTTTAGGTCAAGATTTCGTTTTAGTTGGCCGTGTTTAAGGAGCGTGAGAACTCAAGCGACAAGGGTAGATGCGTCGTCGCATGTGCCAGAGTGACTTGGGTCACCACGAACGATTGTGACAATGAATCAAATAGCGATCAGCTCACAAAACACAACTGAATAGAAATCAAATGAATATTGATTTTGTACAGCTCCACTGGGGATTCGAACGCCGCATTTCCTGTTTAAAATGTCATTTTTGAAACTCGCAGTTTTCCGGTCTGCACTACTGAATTGTTATTCTGTTATGGTGAGTTTTCCTCATCATTAATTTACAGATTTATTTAAAAAACAAAGATAAAGGTCCCCCGTATAGCCTGTACATACTATTTGGGGCAAGTGCTGTTGGCGAACACCTCTGAAGGCTGGCACGCCACACGAGGGGGTGGGTGGCCAGCACCACGCTCGGCCGCCTTTGTCTCCCCAGTGGCAATGCTTTACACACTGCACCAGGTACTCATTTGAAGCTGAGCCGACTTAGGGGAGGACCAGGAACGGTTGAGATACTCGTCACTTGTGTTGGTGGCAGTGAGTGGGAATGGAACTGGGCTCGTAGCCGTGTTCGTAGTGGAGCACGCTAACCACTGCACCACCGCTCGCCATTAGGATAAACAGACATGCCCGCACACACACACACAGCAGAAGCACCTGCCCAATTCGTCAATAATAATCATAATCTTTATTTATAGGGTGCCTTTCATTCCAAAAGGCTCAGGGAACTTCACACAACGTTACGGACAAACAAACATTTACGAAGACAAATGTTGTGCAAACGTCCCATAAAGTATATTTAAAATTAAAAATACATGAAAGAGGAGGGAATGCAAACAGAGCAGTAAGGCAATCTTGAAACGCTGGAATACAAGTCGCAAGGGTAAGCTTATAAACATAGCCAGAGCGGATATTACAAATCTACATTTTCTATGTTTTCTGAATTAAACAAATTACATATCTGGCGATGCTGCTGCTGCTGAATTGGCAGTTGTGCATAAGCATAGCCAACAATAACACTGTGGCCTTAACAAATAAAACAATTATATAATAGGGGACGTTTCAGGCAACGATCGCCCCTTCACTGCACGTACATCATGCTAGTGTTGTGCAGCATGGCGCTATGAAGGGCCTTTGCCCAAAACGTCGCCAATTATATGTTGTTATTTTTAGGTTTTTTCGGTAAAGTCACGCGGGTAAAAAATTACAATTAATAAAAATAAGATAAAATCACGACGTTTCGGAGGCAACAGAAGCTTCCGTCTTCAGGTGGAACCGTCACAGCACGAATGCTGCATCAAGTAAAGAGAAATTCCAAGAAAACAGTCCTTGTATATATACTTGTTGAGGGTGGGAGGAGCCATTGTGAGGTTCGATGCGGCTGAAGCATGCTGCAAGGAATGAGCCTTTGTTGTGCAGACTGGTTGAAATGGGAGGTTCCAAGAGTTGTTAAGGTGCGGCTGATGTAAAGGTTGCGGATGCTGTAAATGGGACTGGGCCTTTGTTATGTAGAGATGGTGCGGCTGAAACCTCTGTTAGGAATGAGCCTTTGTTGTGTAGACTGGTTGAAATTTAAATGATGTTCATATCAAGACCACACACGCACGCGCGCGCACAGACAAACGGTGTCTTCGACTGAAGCACTGAGTTCTCTTTCTTCGCTAGGATGGTCGAGGGGTCCGCTTTTAATTACCAGAACAATGGGCGCCACTTGTGAAGATAAAATACGGAAAATAAAAATAACACAAATTCAACTCAATCAATGCATTTGCAGGGGCAATCAAAAACTCATCGACTTTGAAATCCAATCGAATGCCCCGTAATGCAGGTTGGATCGGGTCAAATTACTTTTATTTGTGCCAAGCACGGCAAGTCCTCGCTTAACACGGTTTCCCTTAACGCGTTTTCTCTCAGGAGCGCACCCACTGCACCCGCGTTAAACGATTAATTTACTTCTAGATTTGAAGCTTTCGTGACTGCAAGGATTCATACTCTTAGTTCTTTCGGTAAAGTCACGTAGGTAAAAAATGAAATTAAAATTAATAAAAATAAAAATCACGACGTTTCGGAGGCAACACAAGTCTCCGTCATCAGGTGGGACCGTCACAGCCAGATTAGCTTCAAGTTTCATTTATTTGGTGTAGCCCTGTGAGCCATTCGGGTCTTGAATCGGGTGCAACCGCAACAAACAAAAAACAAAAACATGAACAAGAAAAAATCTTGATGCAGCAAATCTGGCTGTGACGGTCCCACCTGATGACGGAGACTTGTGTTGCCTCCGAAACGTCGTGATTTTTATTATTTAATTTTTTATTAATTTCAATTTCATTTTTTACCTACGTGATTAATTTACTCTCCACAATGTCACCCGTACCCACGTGCCCCTTCATTGCCGCTGAACTCCTGTGGACACGGATCCTCTTCGCGTTCCCAGGTCACAGGGAGGACTTGGTCCGATATGTTTCCCGCGTGACCCACAGACTCTGAACCTCTGTCCCGTGGGATCTCAGCATCTCCGAGTCTGTGGGCATTTTTAAATCCTTTATATTAAGTTCGCATGCTTGCGTGCTTGCTTGCTTACGACCGTGCAAATCTTTCGGTCGTTTTATATCCCACTTCCCTTGATCCAATCGAGCTGACATTTTCCACACAGACTCGTTGTGCCAGACAATTAATGTTCGTGAAAAAAAAATTCCCAAAATTGTACACTTTTTAGGCAAAAAAATATTATTTTACATATATTCAAATAGAACGCATTCATCGCTTTGGCTGAACGTCAGAGTGTAAGAGCCCAGAGCGTAAGCCCCTCCACAGGCCGTGGCGGAGTAGCGCAGTTGGTAGCGCCCTCGCTTCCCATGCCAAAGGTCGCGGGATCGATCCCCGCGTCCTCCACAGGCGAATATATTTTTAAATCCTTTATATTAAGTTCGCTGCTACGCATATAAAGGATTTATAGTGAAAAACTTTGTTTTTACGGGTTATACTTATTCAAGATCGACTCAAATCTTATCCACACGCCTCTCTCTCCAAAAATCTCCCTCCGCTCCTCGTCCAGCAGGTGCCATGGCGTCCCGCGACGGGCTCATCGTCCTCATCCTGCTGCACGGCATTCTGGGGAAGCACTGCACCCTGGGTAAATCCTCGCTGCCGCCATCCTCCCCGGGCGTGCCGCGGCTGCTCCACGGCAACGGCGACCACGGTAACCAAGGCAACGGCGACCACGGTGACCATGGCAACGGCGACCAAGGTGGCCACGGCAACGGCGACCAAGGTGGCCACGGCAACGGCGACCACGGTGGCCATGGCAACGGCGACCACGGTGACCGTGGCAACGGCGACCACGGTGGCCATGGCAATGGCGACCACGGTAACCACGGCAACGGCGACCAAGGTGGCCATGGCAACGGCGACCATGGTGACCATGGCAATGGCGACCACGGTGACCACGGCAACGGCGACCACGGTAACCACGGCAACGGTGACCAGGGCAACGTCGACCGAGATGGACCGCCGGCTCAGGCACGATTCTTCTTCTGCCGGCACCGGTGCCCGAACCAAGCGGCACGAAGCGTCCGAGTCCACGGGATCACCCCGTGACGGAGCCGGCGGCGGTGCCAATAGAGGAGGGGGAGGAGGAGGAGGAGGTTCGACGCCCGGTTCGTTCAAGGAGGTGATCGACGTGGATGACAGCTTCGAGCAGCTCGGAGGCAACTGCTGCGACTGCTTCACCCTGCTGGAAGGGGCGCAGGGCAGGAAGGGAGAGAGGGGTGACAGAGGTACGGTGGTTGATGGTGGTGGTGGTGGTAGTGTGGGGAGCGGTGGTGCAGCGGTTAGCGCGCTGCACTACGAGCCTGGCGTACCCGAGTTCGATTCCCGCTCACGGCCAACACCAGTGACGATTATCTGAGCCGGTCCTGGGCCTCCCCTAGGTCGACTCAGCCTCAAATGAGTACCTAGTACGTTGTGGAAATATTGCCACTCGGGAGACAAAGGCGACCGTGTGTGATACTGGTCACCCACCCTTTCGTGTGTCGTTCTGGCCTTCATAGGTGCTCGCTAACAGCAGTTGCCCCAACAGTCTGTTATAGGCTTTGGTGGCGGTGGTGGTTATGGTCGTGGTGGTGGTGATCAGTGTTGGTGGTCAGTGTTGGTGGTCAGTGGTGGTGGTCAGTGGTGGTTATCAGTGGTGGTGGTCACTGGTGGTGATCAGTTGGGCGCTATAGATGGAACCAGGTCGGTTCCTCGAACTGGTTCAGGTATCACTCGCCATTGATGTTCACAGTGAGTGGGAATCGAACTCATCGGGCAATGCACCGTTGCGGTTTTCATTGTCGCAGTAAGTTTGGCGAATAGAAATTTCAAACGTATATTTATATATATACACACAAGAAAGAAAATCTCTAACACTGTGTGATGGAGCGACTACTTTGTCAGAAATAAAAAGCTGAATTGCCATTCATACATTATTTATTCTTACAGGAACTCTCGCTGCGTGAAGGCCCCTGTGGAATCCTCAATGCACTGCGCGCTTGCTACACGGGAGGGAGTTTTTTTCTTCCCATTTCTCCTGCAGCCTGAATTTAAATGCCACTTCTTCAGTGCTTCACAACACTGCCCTCCCTCCTGAGCCATCACAGACTCGCCACTGGCATATCGCGCGGCGAAATAAAAGCAGGCGGGTTCCATGAGAGGCATTTTATACAAATAATGAGAAGAATAAGAATAAGAAGAAGTTATGCTGGCCGGATTCATGGCTGCCTGAGAACAAAAGCAGGCGGGTTCAATGGGCGGCGTTTTATACAAATATTAAGGGGTAGCGAGTTTTGCTGGCTGGATTCACGGCTGCCTGGCTGGAATTTGGAGGGGAGATCAAGGTGGATGGGGGGGGGGGGTCCCAGCAGGTTGGGGGGTACGCTGGAGGGGTGCACGAGGGGGGTAGGGTCCCAGTTGGGGGTTGGGGAGGGGTACCCCTCGTCGCACCGTAGTTTGAAGAGGAGTACTTCCACAAGGCACGGTGCTAATGACATGCAGGCCTTCGTCAATTCACTGCTGGATGAGAGCCTTCCTGGGCAGTACGGGTTCTTGGGGATTGTTCGACCGAGACCATACTTCACCACACTGGTCAGCGCAGATTGGTGATGGGATGGAGGTGGGTTGGAGGGGGAATCCAGGACCCGGTGAGGATATCACTCGCTGCTGATGCTGGCCGTAAGCCAGGGATCGAACTTAGGTCGCCAGATTCGTTGCGCCGCGCAGGTGGCTGTGATGTGACGCGCGCGTTCCCCTGCTCCGTGCCCGTCAGGGTTGCCCGGAGAGAAGGGCGAAGTTGGCCACCAGGGGGAGCCAGGATTGCCCGCCCCTCCTGGAGCAGCTGGGCCCAAGGGTGAGACGGGTAAGGCGCAGACGGGTGGCTCACACTCGACGAGGAAGAACAACCAGGCATACGCCTCACTCGTGCACAAACTCACTCACTCACCCACCCACCAACAACAACAACAAGCGCCGTTCGCCACTAAGTGGTGGTGACGTCGCCCCGGCGCTTGTGCCAGGCTAGGTGCACGTTGAGGCCACGTCACTTTAAGATGCTTTCTTGTTCATCTTTTTGTTTTTTTGTTTGTTGCGGTTGCACCCGATTCAAGAGCCGAATTGCTCACAGGGCTATACCTAGTAAATGAAACTTGAAACTTGTATAAGCGTCAAACGCCCGCCGGCTGGAGGTCACGGGGCAGACCCAGCAGGTGCCACGGGTCGACCGACTGCGATGAGCACCCATGGCAATCACTCACCCACTCGCCGACCGCCGGTGAGCGAGTCACCACATTGAGCGAGTGCTGCGTGGACACAGCTTGCCTGCGAATCACCCCTCGCTGCCTTACGAACCTCGGGCAGATCGCACGGCTCACTCAGCAGCACGTGCAGCGGCCACGGCTCGCGCCGCGGTGTGGGGGCCAAGCGCTGCCGTCCGATCGCGACGCTGATGCCGGTTTACTCAGAGCTCCGGCTGTCAGAGCCCGTCCCTAGAGCAGTACGGGCGAATCGGGGCGATCGCCCCGTGCCCCCCGCAGTTTGGGGAGGGGGGTCTCCGCGCTGTCTCAGATGTCATACTCTCGGTTTAGTTTGAAGGCCTCCGTGGGGCAGAGGGGGTGCACAAGGTGGGTGAGTTGCTTCGTCTCTGGACAACAGCCCTAGCGTCTGTGTTCCAATTCCCTCCCTCCTTTTTTTTTTCCTTTTTTTTTAACGATCAGACGAGAAAGATGCTCGGTCTTTCGGCACTTTACTTCGTTCATCATGTCGTTTTTTTCGTGTTTTTTTTGTTTGCTTATGTGCTCCCTTTTTTAAATCAAAAATATAACGCGGGTTTCCCGTATAACATTAGTCCCATTGTGTGTTACTGTGTTCATAGACACCAACAAGAAAAACAAATCACCCTCAAAAAACCATCACCAGATCCCCTGCTGCTACCAGCAGCATAGCGGCGAAGGCACCTGCCTGACCTCCCTCCCCTCCCTCCCTCCCTCCGTCGCGGGACGGTCACCCACGCAGGGAACCCAGGAGAGCGAGGCGAGGATGGAGACCGTGGCCCCAGAGGAGCCCCCGGGGACAGGGCAATCAAAGGTACCACACGGGGTCGCGCACGCCACCGCCTGCCATTGCAGAGATTCGCGGTTCGAATCGGGCGGGCCTCCCTGGTTAATACGGCGGGTGTATTAACCATCACGTGTGCAATATGTATATGCGCACGCGCGATCGCTCAGCCGGAGCTGCCCGTGTGTCGATTGAAAGGTGACAAGGGCGACAGGGGATCGTTGGGCCTGGCGGGCGACAAAGGGCAGCAGGGAGAGAAGGGCGACAAGGGCAGCATCGGCCCCAAGGGCGACCAGGGTCAGCGTGGGGTCGCGGGCCCTCCGGGCGAGCGGGCAAAACCGGCCGAGAAGGGAGACAAGGGTGAGCGCGGCGCGCAAGGCGAGCGCGGCCCCGAGGCCGCAGCGGGCCCCGAGGGCCGGCCCGGCAGCGCGGGCCTCAAGGGGGACAAGGGGGACGCGGGCACGAGCGGCACGAAGGGTTCCAAGGGCGATCGAGGAGACGCGGGGCCGGCGGGGCCGACGGGACCCGCGGGGTCTCAGGGAGCCCCCAGCCCGCCGGGGTCGCGGGGCCCGGCGGGTCCCCAGGGCATCCCGGGGCCCGCCGGTCCCCCGGGCCACGCGGGGGCCCCCGGGCAGCCCGGCCCGCCGGGCCCGCCGTCGCCGCCGCCGCACAAGACGAAGCCGTCGCTGGAGAGCAACGAGGAGACGGAGGCGTGCGCCAAGGGGCCGTGCGGCGCGGGGCCTTGCGGCGGGGGTCCCTCGGGGCCCCGCTCGGCCTTCAGCGCGAGCCTCTCGAAGGCCAACGCCTTCCCGGCGCGCGGCGCGCCCGTCCGCTTCACGCGCGTCCTCTACAACGGCCAGGGCCACTACAGCCCCGAGACGGGCAAGTTCACGTGCGTGGTGCCGGGCGTCTACTCCGTGTCGTACCACCTGACGGTGTGGAAGCGCTCCGTGAAGGTGGCGCTGTGCAAGAACGAGCGGCGGCTCGTGTCGTCGGGCGACGGCTTCGAGGACGGCGACCTCGACCAGGCGTCGCTCTCCACCGTGCTCGAGTTGGAGCGGGGCGACCAGGTGTGGCTCGAGGTGGTCGGCAGCTACAACGGCATCTACGCCGACGACGACGACGACTCCGTCTTCACAGGGCATCTGCTCTTCCCAGACTGCTGAGCGCCGTGCCGTGCGTCCCCCAACCCATTCGACGGTGAGTTTGTCAGTTGTTTTTTTTTCCTTCTCCTCCTCCTTGCCACACAGTGATGATGATTTTTGTGTGTGTTTCGTTTGCACCGAATCGGTGCGTTTTGTTGCCCGCGCCGATCTTGGAGCGCGCGTACGGCTGTCGCGAAGGGGAGGCGAGGTGACTGGAGCATTCGGTAAAGTCACGTGGGTATAAAATAAAATAAATCACGACGTTTCGGTCGCAACACAAGCGTCCGAAACGTCGTGATATATTGTATTTTCTACCTACGTGACTTTACCGAAAGAACCAAAGGGTATGGGATTCCTGCAGTCACGAAAGCTTCAAATCAAGAACGACTGGAGCAGTTTCACGGTTTGGGGGAGGGGAGCAGGGGTGGAGGAGGTGGAGGAGGTGGTGGTGATGATTGTTGCTGTGTGCAATCACAAATGAGTAATTGTTAGCGAAGTTGGACAAGCGATGTTGGCTTACGATGGCCTGAAAAAACACATCTAAACCACGTGTGCAGGAATTGGTGACGGGGCCGATACCATCAACTCACACTGCACCCGAGAAGCAGTTCCTTAAATCACAGCAGCTCAGGCTACGTGTGTCCGCACGGCTCTCTGTGTGAGTCAGCGATGATGGGTCCGGGGTCATCAACTCACTGCAGCTGAGAACGCGCGCTGTAATCACATTCGGCTGAAAGATTAAACGTTGAACCCGGTGACTTGCTCATCTTCGCAGCAGCAGTAGCAGTGACTTTTGGCTCAGCCATCGAACAAAGGAGGCGGTCACCGCATCGCGCCCTTTCAGATGCGCTTCTGCGGCCGTCTGGAACGCTCTTCCCTTCCGATACTAGAAAGCCACTGGAGCTACGCACTTTTCAATCACCAAGTTCGAAAACTCATTTCTTTAGAACTGCATGTTTGTTGTGCTTAGTTTGCTATGCTTCCCCCGCACCTCCGATTCGCACGGTTGGCTACGTACGGCGCGCAAGAAGTTCAACGCACATACATCTCGGAGGCTACTGCCTCCGTATCCCTGACCCGGGAATCGCCGGGTCTCCTCTGCACTATGCCGCGGCAAAAATGCGGGTGACGAGCCCTGAGATTTCACTGCGGCCGTGGCCACGACCGAAACCGTGCACGCGCGCACTTAAATATTCCGCTCCGCGGTCAGACGATAATGTTGATGGTTATAATGATGATGACTCCACTCTTGCCATTTCAATATCGTATCGATTTGCGCAAACATCATTTCCCTCGTGCTAATTTCACCGGGGGCCTTCCGTGACCCCATCTTTGAAACCTAATCAGTGGGTCGGGGCGCTCATATTTTGCATGGCTGATGCAATAGAAAATGAGGCGCACGCTAAATCTCGCAAGACGTTTATAGAAAACGATAATTCAATTATGGCCATCGCGGTGGTAACGCCCGTGCCTCGCAGCAACAGAGGGCCTGAGTTCGACTCCCAGCTGGGGAACCTTTCTGTGTAGAGTTTATACGTTCTCCCCCTGTCCTGCGGAGTGTGAGCGAGAGTGGGGAGCGGTGGCTTAGCGGTTAACGCGCTGCGCTACGAACCCGGTGGGCCGAGTTCGAATCCCTCTCACGGCCAACACCGGTGGCAATGATCTGAACCGGCCCTCGGCTTCACCTAGGTCGACTCAGCCTCCAATTAGTATCTGGTGTGGTGTAAACATCGGCAAGAGAGAGACAAAGGCGGCCGGGCGCGGTGTTGGCCACCCACCCCCTCGTGTGCCGTAGCGACCTTCATAGGTGCTACTCGCTAACAACACTTGCCCAAAAAGTCTGTTAAGGCTATACGGGGGGTCTTTGTCTTGACTGTGTGAGTGTGTGGGTGAAATTGTTCTCCAGGTTATCCGGTTTACTCCCCTAGCTAAAACAAACAAAAAAAAACTCTCACTCAATGTAACAGGAATTGGCCAAAACACCCCGTTGCTGAAAAATAACTTGCAAAATTACTCTGTTGGGATCACACATCAGCAGTAGCTGCAGCAGCTGCAGCAACATTGCTCGTCTACTGCGGAAAAAACTTGGCAGGACCCTCCTGAACACGAGTCTTGAGACTCGGTGAAAGCCCTCCTGGGCAAGCTAGCTTAGCAGTAATTATGATTTACATATTTTGGAAGCGCTTGCATTTTAAATAGTTACCTATGTACTCGCTTTTCCCGGCATCTGTTAGTTAATCGCGCCGTGTTCTTCCTCTGAGGAGCAGATTGATGTGGTTGTAGAGCCATGGTTTCAATTGTTGTCTGGCGCAGCGGGTATCAGTAACGGTCGCTGGCTGCGCCGGGTGGCGGAGGGGATTTACGACACACAATTTTGGTCGGATCGTTACGTCGTGGCCGAACACGAAATAAAAATGCGTCACGAATCTTAATATTAGCCGCGGATTTTAATGGACTTGGGCCAGACATCCAAATGTAGGGCCACAGAGCTTGGGCAATCGTTGCCTCTGGGTCTGGCCGCCTTCCCTCGTGTGTGGTGAAGCGTGTGAATCGCCGTTCTGAGAATGAACAAAAATCAAACTGTGGGCCCATAATACAGGGGGCTTTTTTGGGTTAGATCGCATAAATATTAGAAATCGCGTAAATATTATATTTATGCGATCTAACCCAACAAAAAAACCTGTATGATGAATTATATCAGTCACGAAAGCCGACTACGTGTTAAACAAACTGTTGGGCATTAAACATTCTAAGTTATGAACGTGACCACGTGCTCAGCGTTCTAATGTGAGCGTGTGTTTCTCTTTTGCAGGAGACTAAGTTCTTGGAGCTGAGTGACGTTCCCGAGCCGGGCGGAGCTTCCTCCACACGCACGCACGCACCCGAGCGGACAATCCCGACGGTGATGAGATGTTCACTACCTCGCCCGGTATACAGTGGATCGTATAGGTTCGATCGCGATCCTGACTCCTGTATATTTGGAGTGTGTGTGTGTCTCTCTCGCTCCCCGTGATCGCGTGGTTTTTTTATGGGTGCCCCTGGTTTGGGGCCGTCCATAAATGACGTCACGCGATTTTGGATGATTTTTTACCCCCCCCCCTCCCTCGTCACACGGCGTCACAAAAAGTCAGACCCCCCCCCCTCAAATATGACGTCACAAAGCTCTGCCCCCCCCCCCCAAAACCATATTTCCATTTTGAAAATAAAACGTGCTTCAAATCGCTTTAAACTATTGTCATTGTAGTGCGTATTTAATGTGGCGCTGCACTCTGATGTTGTAGGAGTGTTGTTTTAACAATTAGTGTTGTTAAAACAATTATATATTTATTTAAAGTTGCGCATTTTTATGTGACGTCACATTTCTCAACCGCCCCCCCCCACTCGTCACACATCGTCACAAATGTCTAACCCCCTCTCCCCCCTAGGTGCGTGACGTCATTTATGGACGGCCCCTTTGTCCCCTTCACATTTAAAATCAACGGCACGCGATTAGAGTATATTGGCTGCGAAAAAATGTCCACGTGATGATAAGCCGCTTTCGTTGAGCTATCATTTGTGATAGCAAGGTCGCTTCTAAAAAAACAATTGTTACATAGCTCAGTGGACCATCTCTCGCACCTGGTAAAATAAAAATAAAGTTTAATTTACAAATCCAGAGCTGTGCTGTGCACATGAGCACCCGAAGGGCTCCGGGCCTCACGGGTGACCGGTCGGTCACGTGACGTTAAGCACAGTGACGACTGGACCGGTCGGTCACGTGACATTAAGCTCAGTGACGACGGGGCCCAGTCGGTCACGTGACATTAAGCTCAGTGACGACGGGGCCCAGTCGGTCACGTGACATTAAGCTCAGTGACGACGGGGCCCAGTCGGTCACGTGACATTAAGCTCAGTGACGACGGGGCCCAGTCGGTCACGTGACATTAAGCTCAGTGACGACGGGGCCCAGTCGGTCACGTGACATTAAGCTCAGTGACGACGGGGCCCAGTCGGTCACGTGACATTAAGCTCAGTGACGACGGGGCCCAGTCGGTCACGTGACATTAAGCTCAGTGACGACGGGGCCCAGTCGGTCACGTGACATTAAGCTCAGTGACGACGGGGCCCAGTCGGTCACGTGACATTAAGCTCAGTGACGACGGGGCCCAGTCGGTCACGTGACGTTGAGCTCAGTGACGACGGGGCCCAGTCGGTCACGTGACATTAAGCTCAGTGACGACGGGGCCCAGTCGGTCACGTGACATTAAGCTCAGTGACGACGGGGCCCAGTCGGTCACGTGACATTAAGCTCAGTGACGACGGGGCCCAGTCGGTCACGTGACATTAAGCTCAGTGACGACGGGGCCCAGTCGGTCACGTGACATTAAGCTCAGTGACGACGGGGCCCAGTCGGTCACGTGACGTTAAGCTCAGTGACGACGGGGCCCAGTCGGTCACGTGACGTTGAGCTCAGTGACGACGGGGCCCAGTCGGTCACGTGACATTAAGCTCAGTGACGACGGGGCCCAGTCGGTCACGTGACATTAAGCTCAGTGACGACGGGGCCCAGTCGGTCACGTGACATTAAGCTCAGTGACGACGGGGCCCAGTCGGTCACGTGACATTAAGCTCAGTGACGACGGGGCCCAGTCGGTCACGTGACGTTAAGCTCAATAACGACGGGGCCCAGTCGGTCACGTGACGTTAAGCTCAGTGACGACGGGGCCCAGTCGGTCACGTGACATTAAGCTCAGTGACGACGGGGCCCAGTCGGTCACGTGACATTAAGCTCAGTGACGACGGGGCCCAGTCGGTCACGTGACATTAAGCTCAGTGACGACGGGGCCCAGTCGGTCACGTGACGTTAAGCTCAGTGACGACGGGGCCCAGTCGGTCACGTGACATTAAGCTCAGTGACGACGGGGCCCAGTTGGTCACGTGACGTTAAGCTCAGTGACGACGGGGCCCAGTCGGTCACGTGACATTAAGCTCAGTGACGACGGGGCCCAGTCAGTCACGTGACATTAAGCTCAGTGACGACGGGGCCTAGTCGGTCACGTGACATTAAGCTCAGTGACGACGGGGCCCAGTCGGTCACGTGAAATTAAGCTCAGTGACGACGGGGCCCAGTCGGTCACGTGACATTAAGCTCAGTGACGACGGGGCCCAGTCGGTCACGTGACATTAAGCTCAGTGACGACGGGGCCCAGTCGGTCACGTGACATTAAGCTCAGTGACGACGGGGCCCAGTCGGTCACGTGACATTAAGCTCAGTGACGACGGGGCCCAGTCGGTCACGTGACGTTAAGCAGAGTGACGACGGGGCCCAGTCGGTCACGTGATGTTCAGCTCAGTAACGGCGAGACGGGTCGGTCACGTGACGTCGTTCCAACCGCACGGTTTCCTTGCAACGCGATTGCGTCACGCGACGAACCAATTACACACAGGGGGTGCATTCAACTCGAAGGAAGGTCTCGCTCATTGCGCTGTGTTATCCGGGGGGCCGCTTGTATGGCTGTCACCTCGGCACGTGGGTCACCGTGGGTCACCGTGTGGGCCGGTAATAGTTTTGTTTTTTTTCTAAATCGGTAACGCTCCACGCACACACACAACAAAAATAGACGAAATCAACAACCCGGGTCGCGAGCCGGCTCCTTCCCCCTCCCCTGATCCCTTCCCTCCAAAGAGTCCGGCTTTTGTTGATTGCAGTCCAAAGAAGGAAATTCTCTCCCCACCACGCACCTCCGATTGATACGGTTGGCTACGTACGGTGCGAAAGAAGTTCAGCATACATACCTACAGCGAGGGAAACAAGTATTTGATCCCCTGCTGATTTTGTACGTTTGCCCACTGACAAAGAAATGATCAGTCTGTAATTTTAATGGTAGGTTTATTTGAACAGTGAGAGACAGAATAGCAACAACAAAATCCAGAAAAACGCATGTCAAAAATGTTATAAATTGATTTGCATTTTAATGAGGGAAATAAGCATTTGACCCCTCTGCAAAACATGACTTAGTACTTTGTGGCAAAACCCTTGTTGGCAATCACAGAGGTTATTCTGTCTCTCACTGTTCAAATAAACCTACCATTAAATTATAGAATGATCATTTCTTTGTCAGTGGGCAAACGTACAAAATCAGCAGGGGATCAAATACTTTTTTCCCTCGCTGTACCTACGTACATTTAAAAGTAGCAAGGGCCAAAACTCTGCGACGACTTCCACGTTGAGCAGCAGCTTTGGCGATGTCTTCTTCTGGGGCAGTCTCAGCGAGCATCGTTTGTCACTTGCGACGACGTCCGTCCGACGTTTGGCTCCACGTCACCCGAATCCGGTTTTTGCCGTCGGAGGAAGCTTTCCGGGCGCTGGGCGATTCGAGAGCGCTTCGGGTGAAGAGCCACGGGGAAACAACAGCAGCAGCGGTGGCATTGGCGTCGGTGGGGGCAGCCACCAAACGCGGACACAGCAAGTCCTCGTTTATAACGCGATCCGGGAACAAGTATAACCCGTAAAAACAAAGTTTTTCACTATAAATCCTTTATATGCGTAGGCGGCTAGAGTCCTCTCGTCCTCTGGCTTGAGATGGCTGCCACCTATGGGTCAGATGATTGCATGGCAGCATTAAGCAATTGGTAATTAAATATAATATTTTTGTCCTAAAAAGTGTAACATTTTGGAGAAAAAAAATTCACGAACATTAATTGTCACGCACAACGAGTCTGTGTGGAAAATGTCAGCTCGATTGGATCACGGGAAGTGGGTTAAAAAACGACCGAAAGATTTGCACGGTCTTCAGCAAGCAAGCAAGTGAACTTAATATGAAGGATTTTAAAATGGTGGGGTTGAAAACGCGTTCGGCAAAGACCAATTGCCCATGAATAAAGTTTGGCGAGATACGATGTCCCACCACCGTCACGACTACTACGCGCAGCACGCGGTGAGACGGCGGGACTGTTTATGGTTCCGCGTAGCGTGTGTCACCGTGCCGCTGGGATGGGCAGCTCAAGAAAGTAGCTCGTCGTCGACGTCTCAGAGACCACGTTATAACGGTGCGTTTTCCACGTAATAACGGCACGCGCTGTAACGCCACGCATTATAAAAGGCACGTGCATTATAATGAGGGATGCGTTCTGCGCTATAACGGCAAGTGCGTTATAACGGGACCCGCGTTTTAACGGGGGGTAGGTGTGTTCCTTCGTTATAACGGCACCCGCGTTATAACGAAGGGGGGGGGCACATTCCGCGTTGTGTGAAAAGTGTTCCCCAAATGGAAGAACGGCGTTGTAGCGAGAACGCGTCTGTAGCGTGAACACCGCCGCCGCGTGTTAAGCGAGGGCTCGCGGTGCGATGGTCTTAACAAGTTGCTCTGCACAAAGATTCGAAAAGTTTTCTAAGCTCGTACGACCGCTGACAAATTCTATTAATTCTAATCGTTGTGCTTGAATAAAATCGATAAAACCCTCAGGAGGAAATCGCACGATGATTATTGTTGTTATTGTTGTTATCAACGCTACCCACATGAATTATTCATATTCTACGATAGACCCCCCCACCCAGCCCCCGCAAGTGAAATAAGTGGGAGATGTTAATATCAAGCAGAGGTCATTGTTGTGTTGTCCAAGGGCGAGTTGCGTCTTGCGAATGATCAAGCGGGACGCTGAATCAGTCGGAGTGGTGCAGGCGAACCGATCGCGCGTCATCGATGGGGAGGAGGGAGGGAGGGAGAGAGGGAGGGAGGAGGGGGAGGAGGGGGAAAGAAGAGGAGGTAGAAGACGAGAGAGGGAGGATGAAGAGGAGGAGGAGGGGGAGGGAGGATGGGGAGGAGGGGGTGGAGGAGGGGAGAAGAGGAGGAGGAAGAGGAGGAGGGGTGGAGGAGGGGGTGGAGGAGGGGAGGAGGAGGAGGGGAGGAGGAGGAAGAAGAGGAAGTGGAAGACGAAAGAGGGAGGATGAAGAGGAGGAGGAGGGGGTGGAGGAGGGGAGAAGAGGAGGAGGAAGACGAAAGGAGGATGAGGAGGGCGAGGAAGAGGGGGGGAGGGAGGGAGGAGGGGGAGGAGGAGATGAGAGGGGGCTGCTGCGTGACCTCCCCCTGCCACCCACGTGACCTCCCCCTGCCACCCACGTGACCTCCCCCTGCCACCCACGTGACCTCCCCCTGCCACCCACGTGACCGCCCGCTGCCTCCCACGGCTCGTGCCGTGTTCCCGGGGGACGAGTCGCTCGTGCGCACGGCAAACGACGATGACGTCGACGAGGCAAATGAATCCCAACCGCATGCGGGCGGCGATGCTCGACTCACTTCGTCCTCGGAGCGCGGAGCTCCCACGACACTCCCCCCGCGTCACTCATCCCGCGTCACTCATCCTGCGTCACTCATCCCGCGTCACTCCCCCCGCGTCACTCCCCCCGCGTCACTCCTCCGCGTCACTCCTCCCGCGTCACTCCTCCGCGTCACTCCCCCCGCGTTGCTCCCCCCGCGTCACTCATCCCGCGTCACTCATCCTGCGTCACTCATCCCGCGTCACTCCCCCCGCGTCACTCCCCCACGTCACTCCTCCGCGTCACTCCTCCCGCGTCACTCCTCCCGCGTCACTCCCCCCGCGTCACTCCCCCCGCGTCGCTCCCCCCACGTCACTCCCCCCGCGTCACTTTCCCTGCGTCACTCCCCCGCGTCACTCCCCCCGCGTCACTCCTCCCGCGTCACTCCCC